ATATATATGTGTGTGTTTATCTTTTTTTTTTTCATTTGGCCTATGGCAGTCATCCAACACATCTGAGTCTCCCACCGTACAAAGTGGAGCAGCAAATTAAAAATATATATAAAAGGAAGAAGTTCAAAGCCTCTCTTCATAGCTGGGAGAAATGTGCACTATAATTATGTTAAATGAGCTAGTTATAACTTCCCCATTATTGACGCTGGATTATTACAGGAGTGCATGCTTATAGTGCAGGACTTTAAAAGAAGAGACAAGGGAAAGGAGCATTAAAAATGGGACGGAAGAAATGGAAATAAGTAAGGAAGAACAGCAAGGTGGATAGATTTCTAGAGAAAGGGGTGAACATTCATAGGCAAAATCTCAGGTAATTCTAATGCTACTAGTGACAAGTGGCATGATCCAACTTGTGGGTGCCCTGCCACCTGGAAGAACAGAACAAACAAATGAGTTGGGAGGCATTAGGAGGAACAGCAGTTATTTTAGGCATCAAATAATGTTGTAAACATTTCTGCGGTTATCTTCATACAGCACTGCCCTTAAATCCTCTTTCTAAGGCAAGCACCTTGCAAGTAACTTGGGTTATTTAAATAACTAGCAGAAGCTAGTGTTTCCCAGAACTTCTTTCTCCAGCAGTGTCAACAGCTCTAAAAGTGAGCATGAAGGAATGAATAGCAGATTGTTCTGTCCAGCTTGCTGTGACCACCAGTCAAATGGCTTTTCCTGGGCTGCCTTTCTCTTCCTTGACATGATCCCTATGCCAGGGACTGGGATCAGTGCTGGAACAGAACTTCTGTTTGTCAAGGAAGGCAGCTGGGGAGGCCTCTTATGCAGAAGATACTCCCATGCAGCCATTTCTACCCACTGTAAATCTGTTTTGCACTTCTCTGGCAGTGTTAAAGGGTATTACATGGCCTGATTCTATGTGGGGTGTGTGTAGAGAAGGAACAAAGAGCATCTGTCATATCTTCCCTTGGGAGGAACCACTGAAAATTTTTGCTTTTGTTGTGGTTTGTGCTTCTAAAGAAAGATCTTTAGTAAGTGATCTTCAGAAGAATTCCTTCCAGTAAACAGAGCAAGCCTCATTTGAAGTAGGGAGTTGACCTCAATACTTTCTTCAGTTTGGTGACAGGCTATTGACTGGGGCTCTCTGCAAACCCCATCCAGCATATCACAGCTCTGATGGCAGGAGCCAGATTCACGGGTTTTGGGATTTTTTTGGCAGACTTAAATATGAATCAGTCCAGGCAAGCATGGATTTTCACCCAAGTGATTTTCTCAGCTCTGGTGTTGATAATTCTACACAGGGATTGCCCTGGAATTTCTATTGCCTGCACCTGTTCCCTCGAATACAGGAAGCCATCCAAATCATGTGGTTGTCTCCTGGGCTGGCAAAGTTTCCCTTGGCTAAATAACAAGGGCCTGATTCTGATCTCAGTTTCACTGTTTCTTCCCTGCTGACAAGAATGTAGTTATTCCTTAACTTTAATTCTACAAGCAAAAGCAGATTCAGGCCTTAAATGCCATTAAAATGCTGGCTTTTGAACAGTAGCTTCTCAACAGTACTTTCAAAACTGCTCTGTCTAGTGGCAGCTGGGGAATCAGGCTGCAGTCATTGTCAGAGAGAAAGAAAGAGATGACCAGAAATAGAACTGGAACATTGTAAATGAGCCGTGAAAAACACTTTCAGACCCAGATGTGTCACCCAAAAGGTTTGGCAGGACATTGAGAAGCAGGGATGATGCAGACATGGTCATTTTTTAGTGAGGGGACTAGGGCCAAAATAAAAGGCTGCACAGCTTCATGCTGTTCTTATAGCTCTGTGTACTTCCCTAGTGCTGCAAGCATGACACTATTCATACAAATGCACAAGGGGCTTAAAAGTCCATGACTCTCACTGAAGCAGTGGTTGGCCTATATGTCAGTGTTTTATATACCTCCCTATAGTCTGATATGCAGGAATGATTTATTCCTACAGAGTGGGATAATCATTGCCAAGAAAAAAGAAACCTCAATATGGAAATCTTCCAAATTTGGCTTCTCCTCAATAGAGGGCTTTTGGTTTATTTTGATAATATCCCTTTAATTCTTTTTGGCTTCGTTGTCCCAGCTCCTTGGTTCCAACTTCCATTTCACTGACATTGGGTAGAGACGGGCCAAAATCTAGATCTATGTTTTGAATACAGCCAGTATTTGGGAGTGTTTTTTAGGTCCAGAGATTCAATTTGAACCCATTTCTAAGGGAAGTGTATGAAATGGGACCCCACTTACCTCCAATTCCATCAGACTGGCTGTATGCCTGGTGCTCAGTCAAGAGTCCAAGCATAGTGAAGTGTCACTGAGGTTTTTGAAAGAACACCCCCCAAAAGCCACAGTTAGAATGAGGAATGAAGATCACTGTCAAAATGGGAGGAAGGGAGCTACACTGCTCTACTCTTTGAAAAATAGTAGAAATAACTACTGGAATTCTTAAAAGATGTTTAAAAAAAGATAGGAGAGGACTAGTCTCCATTGGCAGCTGAGAGCTTGCCATATACAATACTGGTTTGCTGTAATTCATGTCAGCCATATTTCTGGGTTCATTTTACAAGCTTTAAAATGGCTTTTATTTGCTTATTACATGGATCTAAAGTCACTAATAAGTCTGGACTTCTGACAACTCTTTAGGTGGCAACCTACAGCCAGCCAGGGGTTGGCAACCTACAGCCGGCAGGACTGAAGCCATTGGATTCAGCTGGGAGCTGGGGGACATTCAGTGGTGGAGGATTCCCCATGTTGTGCCATGTCTGAGAAGCAGGGAGGAGTGATGACAGTGGGGTCTGCATGCCAGACTCTCAGACCCGACTCTGTTTACACCTACTTTCAGGTTACATTACAACAAAGCAAAGTGCAGTTTGTGGGCATTTGGCCTGTGGTCTGAATGAAGCATACCAATGGCCACAAATCACTGACACGTGTCAGCTTTTGGGTGGTCTGTATGAAATGAATTGGTTGACCTTAATATGCAGGAATCCACATCAGAAAACCACCTCCCAGCTCATACTCTTGTTCTGTGTCTTGCACACATTTACTGTCAGGAGCAATTTAGACTCACGTGACTCTGAACTGGAAACATCTATTCATTTGAATGAAGATTGTCCAAAGCATAACACTTGTTTGAATGCTCATTAGAGAGGTGAAAGAATGCATCTACTTCAAGGGCGAGCCACCCTTTCATCTTTAGAGTTGGTTTCTGTGACTCACATGTGAGGCCCATTGGTAGAATGAGGCAAGGCAATCAACTCTTCTGCTGCATGTGTACCTATTTCTGTTAGCTAAACAGTTTCCAGTCCTGTTGGTCCATTATCTCACACCTGCACTAAGGTTCCCTTTTAATACAAAACAAAGGATTACCCAGCAGAGAAGTAAACAGGTTGATCTACTGAGAATTTAAACTTCTCCTATAAATTCCTTTTTTATTTCCTCTCCTTCCTACTGCCATCACATATGTCAGCATACCATACAGGCTTCTAAGCTCCTAAAAAGTGCACATAGTAGACAACAATTTTCAGATTCCCATTGTTTGAGACCAGTCAAATTATGCCAGATTTTGCAGACCTACTTAACTTTTAATAGGTGGGTGAAGTCTACATTGAAGTTTTAGGGGTGTAAACTCAGTATTTTAGGCTTTCTTATAGGATGTTAACCATTCAAAATAATTTGCTGACTAGGACTGGTTCTGCACTAACATTTTTCTTATATGCTTCCAAAAATATACTCTTTTGATAGCAGAAAATTTTGTTTGATGATCTTATTCTAGATTTCTTGCAGCAGACATTGTTCTTAAACAGTAGATATTTTTAGGGAGGTAAAACTGGCACAGTATCTTGTTCATATGTGTAAGAAGCCACCATATGCCAGGCTCAGAATGTCACATATACAGGACTTGTCCCGCTTGAATTTTGGCAGTTTGCAGGACCAGAGTAAAAATACCAAAAACTAGTATGTCTGTGTAAAGTACATGGCACGTGAAAGAAAAGGTGGTGCTTGGATTCTGAAACAAATGCCCAAACTAATATTACTTGGCAATGTTGCAATGCAATGCCATTATTAGTTGCAATGACTTCAGTGGCAACTGCCATACTTATTGTTTATATTATGGTCCCTACATGTCTCAGATAAAGTCACCATTGTGGTTGGCCCCAGACAAACCTATAACAACAAGCAGTCCTTGCCCTGGAGAACTTACAGTCAAAAAAGACAAGGAAGACACAGGTTGAGATAAAGGACATATTATTGTCCCCTTTTTTACAGATGGTGAT